TCGCGCGCCCGCGGAGCCCCGGGGAGCCCGGCACCTGCACGCGCCGCTCGCCGGCCCCGCCCCCTTCCTCCTCGGCTTGCCCAGGAGCACAACCCCTTCGCCACCTCCTCCTCCTCCGGCGGCCCGCGGCTCCTACCCCCCTCCTTTTTGCCTCTCTGTCCTCTGGCCCCCGCCGGCACCCTCTCCTGCGGCGGCCGCGCACGCGCACGTCCCCGGGGTCTGGCTCCGGGGAGGGAGGGGGGGGGACGCGCGCGCGCGCACGCCGCCGTCTTTGTTGACCCGGGAGCTTGTGCGCATGTGTGGCATCCCCCCCCCCACCACCACCACACACACACACACACACACACATACCCGGCCCTTTCTCCGGGAACTCCGGTTCCGTAGGTTGCGGTTCGACTCGCGCGGGTCCCCCCCGGGGGTGGGGTGGGGTAGGGGGTGGGTTCGTCGCTCAGCAGATTTCCACCCCCTACCCCCCACCCCCGGTTTCTGAGGTCAGTTTACGAACCGGGGTTGCGACGTGAGTGGCTTGACTCTAGTCCTCGGGTCTCCTCTCTCGCGGTGCCGTTGTTTGCCTTTGTTTTGAGACGAGGGTCCATCTAGTCCCTCCTGGCCTCCGACTCGTTCTGTGGCTGAGCAAGGCCTCCCTAGCAGGCGAGCATCATGACTTCCAGCTATTTTCTTATATATCTTTATTTTCTGCTACTTGAGTTGAAGTCTTTTGCTAAAGGATGGCTGGTCTGAGTTTCATATCAGAGGCAGTATGCGGGACAAATTTCAGGACATCCTAAATGAAAAACGTTACTACCACGAAGGCCACGAATCCTATGTTTAACTAATCTATTACATGTCTAGATGTGTAATCTCGGGATTAATTATGTGGATGAGGTCATTCTTGGGTTTTGCACAGTTACCATCCTATAATTTACTAAGGAATACATACTACCTGCGCGTGCACGTGTGTGAGTGTGTATGTCTCCATTATCCCTTTATTCCTTTGGTAGACTGCCTACCTACCATCTGAGCTATATTTCCCGTATTATAAGCAGAGATCCCAGATCACACAAGAGGAAACAAACAGACCAATCAGACTCCTGGGAACTGGCATCTGAAATAGAAGGTAGTTGAAATCGAAAGCTCTAAAAGCTGGTCGATCCCATTGAGATCCCCAGATCTTTCCGGGTCCTACACTGGTCACTAGACTATATAGCTATCAATAAACTTCAGTCTTTTCTCTCTCCCTCCTCCCATTCCCCCGTCTCCCATTCTCTCTCTGTCTTTAAAAACAAACAAATAAAAACAGACCTCCCCCCTTTATTTCAGTTATCCACAATTGTTTCTTTTTGCCTAACCCAGTGGATACTAATACAAAGTCCCTATTGTTTACGGTGAGCCGCCTACAGATCCCCTGTGAGAGCATCCAAGAATCCCCACATTCTGCTGAGAGTTTATTCCGACCAATATAAATATCATAGGTTGCTGCAAAAATGACCCCCACTGTTGCCCACCTGCTGCCTTCCCTTGAGCCTCTGTCCTGATTCTATTTTCTCATTCTGAAATGCCTTCTCTTTCAAATTTGTTCTTTTTGATCTCCTTTCCCCAATAAACCCCACTTCTCTTTTGAACCACATAGTAGTGGTTGTGTGAAGTCATATATATGTATATATACATATATATTTTTGTATATATACACACATGTCGATTAAATAAAAATAAGATGTATATAACCTATATGTACAATTTGTACATAGTAAATTGCTTTTTCTCTAACTGTAGAGGAAGCTACTATCCCTAATGGTGTATTAATCTCTCTTGTACTTGTCCTGTCTTTAAGTAAAATGGTTTGTTTGTTTGTTTGCTTGGCGTTTTTATGGCAGAGTCTCTCTATGTAGCCCTGGCTGGCCTCCAACTCACAGAAATCTTCCTGCCTCTGTCTCCAAACTGCTGGGATTAAAAGCACATACCCCCATGCCTGGCAAACTTAAGCATTTCTAAACAATAACGTGTAGTTTTGCCTGATCTGCCTTGTCTTTATATAAATGTTGTTATATTCTTTTTTTTTTTTTTTTTTTTGGTTTTTCCAGACAGGGTTTCTCTGTGTAGCTTTGCGCCTTTTCCTGGAACTCACTTGGTAGTCCAGGCTGGCCTTGAACTCACAGAGATCCGCCTGCCTCTGCCTCCCGAGTGCTGGGATTAAAGGCGTGTGCCACCACCTCCCGGCTCAAATGTTGTTATATTCCTAATCTGGCTTTCCTCTACGCTTTTTTTTAAATGTGCATTGGCGTTTTTTGCAATGGTTGTTGGCTCCCCTGGAACTGGAGTTACGGACAGTTGTGAGCTGCCATGTGGGTGCTGGGGATCAAACCCGGGTCCTCTGGAAGAACAGCCACTGCTCTTAACTGCTGAGCCATCTCTCCAGCCCTTCGTCTGCAGGCTTTAAGTGGTTGGATTTTCTCCTGCTGACTTCTCTAGCTGTTTCTGGTGGTAACAGTTGTACATTTGCTCTCATTGCTATGTAGTGTTGCATTATACTAATTTACCACAGGGTTTTTGTTTGTTGTTTGTTTGCTTTACCATGCAACTGATGTCCCAATAATAAGAAAGTCTTCTACCATTGAGCAATATTCCCAGCCCCAATATGGCTCAATAGTGGTTCAAAGTCATCTTTGTCTGTACAGCAAATTCCATGCCACTTTGAACTACAGGAGGGGGCACTGACAGGGCACAGGGGTAAAAATGTTTGCCCCACAAGTTTGATAACCCAAGTTTGATCCCCAGAACTCAAAAGAGGAGAAAACTGACTCCCCAAATCTGTCCTCTGACCTCCACATGCGCTCCCCAGCCCCTAGCATACATACATATACACAGGAAACAACAAAAACTGACATGCTCCATCACTTTGAGGGATCTTTACCTGGTGACTCAGCTTCCAGGTCTGTTACATACTAATTAGTGGAGTAGACAGTGCCTGACATAAAGTTGGTGTTTGCTGAATGAAGTATGGTCCTCCCACTTCTCCTGGATGCTTAGACTCCCGGATGCTTAACTAAAATTTGAGGTATCTCAAGTTCTTTGTCTTTCTCCTTGGATGTTATTCTAGGTAATTTTCTTTTACTTGGAATGGCCTCTCCTTCTACCTCACTACCAAAGTCTTTCAAGGTTTGCTGACATTACCTTGTTGACAAATCTTTACCAATGGGTGGTGGTGGCACATATCTTCAATCCCAGCACTTGGGATGCAGAGGTAGGTGGATTTCTGTGAGTTAAGGCCAGCCTGATCCAGTGAGTGAGTTCCAGGACAGCCAGGGCTACACAGAGAAACGCTGTCTCAAAAAACAAAAACAAAAAACAAAAAAAAAGCCCAAAAAACAAAAAGCCCTTTGCTGTGGGATGGTCTATATGTCAAATTGCTCTGATTGGTCAATAAATAAAACACTGGTTGGCCAGTGGCCAGGCAGGAAGTAGGTGGGACAAGGAGAGAGGAGAATTCTGGGAAGCAGAAGGCGGAGGCAGAGAGACACTGCAGCCGCCACCATGACCAGCAGCATATGAAGACGCCGGTAAGCCACCAGCCATGTGGCAAGGTATAGATTTATGGAAATGGTTAATTTAAGATAAAAGAAGAGTTAGCAAGAAGCCTACCAGGGCCATACAGTTTGTAAGCAATATAAGTCTCTGTGTTTACTTGGTTGGGCCTGAGCGGCTGTGGGACTGGCGGGTGACAAAGATTTGTCCTGACTGTGGGTAAGGCAGGAAAACTCTAGCTACAGCCCTTCCTTATCACTTCAAGCTAAAATGTTTCTGTGTTTAAATTCTTAGACAATGTAGTAAGTTATACACTATGGTTGTTATTCTATGTTGTCCTGTGATAGCTACTTATACAGTTGATTACCTCCTGATATACATTGTTAACTTACTGAAGACTGGCCATACTTTATACATCGTATATCACTTGCATATGCTACTTATTTAATAAATCTGAATAATTGGAAAAACAACCATTCATGATGGCTGCATTAGATTTGCTGGGGTAGGAGAAGGGCTGTAGGGGAAAATGGCCCACTCAAAAATGTACTGAATTCAAATGGTAGTCATTTATTTACTCACCATTCTGTGAGTCAGCAGTTTGGGATGTGTTGAGTTACGTGGTTCTTCTAATGATCTTACTTTGGGTAGATTATGTACACGCAGTTTGACTAAACGGTTTGGATGGCCTAGCCAACCTCAGTCAAATGTCCAGAGGTGCCGGGCAGTGGTGGCACACGCCTTTAATCCCAGCACTCAGGAGGCAGAGCCAGGCGAATCTCTGTGAGTTCGAGGCCAGCTTGGTCTACAGAGTGAGACCCAGGAAAGGCACCAAGACTACACAGAGAAACCCTGTCTTGAAAAACAAAAAACAAAAAAAAAGTCCAGCGTGTGGCTCTAACTACTGGATGTAACATGTCTCTAGCAAGGTAATTTTGATTCATGGGCCAGCAAAATGGCTCAGTGAGTGTGGGTGCTTGCCACAAAGCCTGATGACCCCAGCTTAATCACTGGGACCCATACAGTAGAAGGAGAGAACTGATATCTGCAAGTATCTTGTGACCTTTATATGCCCACGTGGCACACATACCTACAACACACACACACACACACACACACACACACACACACACACACAAATAAATAAATGGGGGGGGGGGAAGGATCATTTAAATACCTTTCCATGATATCT